TGGATCCCCAAGCTGCAAACCTCACTCTTTGTGGTAAGAGCCCCCCCCCCAAATGTGAGAGAGTTTCCCAGACCGCTGATGGTGGGGCCACCCATCCTCAGGACCTCCATCTTGTCTGGAGCAATAACACTTCAGGGTATCTAGCAAAGGTCTTTCCCATCACCTGCCAAATCTTCAGAACATTGCTTTCGGCTTGTCACTCCCAGAACCATTGGTGATTAGTGCATCCTGGGAGTTGTGGTGCAAAATAGTAATGTTTCCAACAGATGACCCTATTTAAAGAAAGAGTTGTAATGAACTGAACCTGGTGTTTTCTTCATTCAGACCATGGTCTCTGCCACATTCACAATTTGACATCACAAGCCCTAGGATGGGGGTGTGGACAGAGATCATGATATGACCGCACTTGAAAGTAACTGTATCTTGACTTGGCTGGCACCTGACTGCCCCATCTCTGCTCTTTTATACATGAGAAGGGGAGCAAGGTGGAAACGTAAAAAAAAATAAAACAAGTAAGCATTAGAGGAAAGCACCACAAATCCCCTCAAGGACTGGAGCACAATAATATAATGCAGCCACCGACTGGTATATACTGATATTAACAAAATAAATTATATAGTAAGACTGCAGTTCTGCCTAAACTGATGGAGATGCCAACAAATTGAGCTCTTCCTAATTTGTAATGAGGATGAAAAGAAGGTTGCTCCTTTTTCAGTGAGGTAGGATTGCCCCTTAAGCAATAGAGGTGTGAATATTCGTGGTAGAATTCTGAAATGGGAAGTGACCTTCTTCCTAGGTTCTCTTACACCGATTGCAGATTGAAAGAGCAGGGCCCATGGCTTTCCAGCTGAGACTCCAGAGAGACAACATTGTCCATTAGGCAGGATACTGCTAAATGGGCCAGTTAGCAAAAGACTAAACATCAATATGAGAGACGTGCTCTCTTGTATCTGTAAAAGAGGCTTGGGGTGTCATGAAAGCATAACTATTAATTATTTATGCTTTTATTTCTGTATACACACACACACACACAGTGGGGATGTGCTTTTGTTGGTCTCATGTACCAAAATAACTTGGCTTTGGATATCATAGGGATGTGGTTAAACCGCAGAAGCCTCTGTGCTGCAAGGTCAGAAGACAAGCAGTCATAAGATCAAATCTGCGCAACAGAGTGAGCTCCCGTCGCTTGTCCCAGCTCCTGCCAACTGAGCAGTTCGAAAGCATGCAAAATGCAAACATGCGAGTAGATAAATAGGTACCACCACAGTGAGAAGGCAACAGCGTTCTGTGTCTAGTCACGCTGGCCACATGACCATGGAAACTGTCTACGGACAAATGCTGGCTCTACGGTTTGGAGACAGGGATGAGCACTGTGCCCTAGAGTCAGACACAACTGGACTAAATGTCAAGGGGGACCTTTACCTTTACCTTACCTTGGATATCATGCATCATGATTTTGGTGAGGTAGGGTGGAGGGCACCATTCACTGTCTGACCTCAAGCAAAAATATATCTTGAGCTCTCCCCGCCATAAACCACAGGGAGGTGAGGGAGGTTTGTGTCAGCTTTCCTTGTTTCATAACCTACAGCTGGCAATGACAAAGGAATCAGAAAGCATAAGTGAAAAGAGCATCAAGAGGCAACCACTGAAACATTCTAAGGCAACCGTAATTTCAGGCAACTGGAATTTGTACAAGTATATGTAAAAGATGTTCAGGGTGCAAGGGAAGTAGCTATAAGAGAAACTGCTCATACCCTTAGATCCTGGATTTCAGTATGCGGGCCCCAGTTGTTAATGGACCTTAACTTCCAGGAGCTAGCCTATCACAGTCAAAGGTTCATGGAGGGCCAATAAAAAAAAATAAAAAATAAAAATATCTGGAGTGTCCCATCTACCCCCCCCCCGCATAAAGTGTCTGCAGTTCTGCAGCTCAAATATGATGATGATCATTATGACCATGATGATACTGTATTAGGATAAAGTTTGCAAAAATGTGCATGTTAACCAAAATTGTGTAGAAACCCCCCCCCCAACACACACACATTTTCCAGCCACACAAGGACCTGCATCACGTGAAATGACCCAAGTCCCTGCAGAACAACGTTGGTCTTTCCTGAAAGTGTTGTTATGGCCAATATTGACCTTGCAATTTTTTAAAATAGCTTGAGGTTTCATGACCTATAGCCCGCTTCATAGATATATCACAGCATGATAACCGTTTTTTAAAAAATGAGAACCTATATGAAAACTATGTCTTTAAACAGATAAACAAACAATTGATTGCATTCAGCTTCAGTCCCTCAGTGTCAGAAAACAATATAGTATAGAAAATTGCACACCCATGCTTCATGACTGCTGACGTACGTCACACTTCAAATGTGCAAAGAGTACAACCATTACCGAGGTGTGTTCACAACTCCAAAGTGCTAATGGCATTCATCTCATCACCACAAATCATTGCCTCTTAGCACTGTCCAAACTGATTGACTTCTGAAGTGCTTTCCTCTGGTGTTGACAGTCTCTGGTTGGTAATGGCTTCGTTCTTCCCCTTCCCTTCAGTTTTGATTCACCTGCTCGTGAGCTCTCTCCGTTGACGACCATATCTTGTGAATGGCCCCAAAGTGGTGTGATCTATGACTTCTAATGTCACACAGAAGTTCTCAGATTCACTGTGTTGACTGAAAGTTATATGCCCCCTGGGTGCAGCAAATTACACAACTCGGCCTCATAATGAAAACTGACAAGCAGTAACCATGATGTGAAAATAGAAGAAGAATACGCTTTTCATTTTTTTCTCTCTAAAATTAAAATTGATGTACGAACGGTGATTATATATATTTACATGATCAAGTGTTGGTGGCAAATTTCCTACCCTTGTTCGGCCTCATGCCAGTTGCTGTTATTCCCATTTTACAGCTTACACTGTCATTTTGGGATCTAGTCATATCTTTCCAGGATTACATATCTTGCTGAACATAATTTATTTACAAGCATTCATACTCCAGCTCCTTTAAAAAAAAAAACCTCCAAGACAGTGTACTGTGATGATAAAACATACATTGATAAAGCAAAAGGGCCTCATAGCACAGTGGTTAAATTGCAGTACTGCAGCCAAACCTCTAGTCACGACCTGGGGCTCAATCCCAGGTAGCTGGCTCAAGGGTCACTCAGATTTCCCTCCTTCCAAGGTCAGTAAATGGATTACCCACCCAGCTGGCTGGAGCGGGCGGGGGGGGGGGGGGTATGTGTAGCCTGAATAATGAACTTGTAAACTGCCCAGAGAGTGCTTTAGTTTCTATCAGGTGGTATATAATCAGAACACTTTACACACACTTTAATATGTAAAATCAGTGTGCAATGGCTTGAATCTAATTGGCAGTGCCAGCTGGATCAAACCCATTGAATTAGCAGCACTTACATTAGTGTCAACTCACTGTTCAACAATTAATTCCAAGAGTCTACTCTAGTTCGGCTAGTAATTAGATGGCACCCACTATTTACTTTATCTCTAAAATAGAGGCTGAAGTCCCACCCCGCTTTCGTAACTCAGTAGCGTGGCTCATTTGTGTGAGTTATATGAATGCATTCTCCGAAGCTTTCTTTCCTTGTCCTGTGTATAGCACTGCTTGGGATCACTACCCTTATTATCTAACCCAGATGATGTAAACTAATGTATCAGGAATATTTGTATATAAAGGGATTAATTCCTAGTGGATCAAAGGAGTAAATTTCAGGGCCCTTTGCAAATTCAGTGACGATTCCTACTGTGAACCACCATTCATTTAAACCAGAAACAACTTAGCCCTGGAGGTTTCCATACAGCTGAATCATTTTACATTCAAGAACTCTGATTTAGCATGTTTTTAAGCTGGGGCACGTGTGATTATTTTCTCCTTCCTACTCCTTGGGCTTTTGTAACCTTTAAATAATTCACAGCTAGAGGTCCATATCCAGCTCCCCATGCTGAGCTAATGATCACATTATATGTAATGGTATGTTTATTAATGGTGGTGCTTAAGAGAGGGTGAAGGACAATGGATCAGCCTATGTGTATACATATCTGGCATTGCAAGCTGGACCCCTAGGGATACTGTACACATTTAGGCATGGCTATAAATGTTTTAGAAATACAGCTAAGGAGCTCTACATGCCGTATTGCAGAGAACGCAGACCTGACTGAGACAGCGTCGCTGTGCTCTTGAGAGTTACTGTTTAGGATGACCATGGGGGGGGGGGTGTTCCACAGTTATCTCTACTCAACAATTCGTATGTCAAATAAGATGCGTTTAAATTCATTCCAAAATTGCTAACTCAACAAGCTTTCCTCAGCTGTAAATGGAAGAGAGGAAGGTTGCAGAATGCAGATCAGTGGCACATTGTGCACTTCCTCCACACAAATCACCATCAAGTGCAGCATCATGCATTTCCTGTGATTAGGATCACAGGCATCGCCCAATAGTGTTCAAGACATTTCATCTAATGGTAGAATAATACAAACCTAGAGACCCATAAGGAGGATCCTGCCCATGCAAAATACTGGGAGAACTTTTCCAATAAGGAAAGCTAAAACAGTAACCATAAGGGACGTGGTGGCGCTGCGGGTTAAACCCCAGAAGCCTCTGTGCTGCAAGGTCAGAAGACCTACAGTTGTAAGATCGAATCCACGCGACGGAGTGAGCTCCCGTCGCTTGTCCCAGCTCCTGCCATCCTAGCAGTTTGAAAGCATGTTAAAATGTGAGTAGATAAATAGGGACCACCACGGTGGGAAGGTTGCAGCGTTCTGTGTCGAGTTGTGCTGGCCACGTGACCATGGAAACTGTCTTCAGCCAAACACTGGCTCTACGGCTTGGAAATGGGGCTGAGCACCGCACCCTAGAGTCGGCCACGACTGCACAATTTATCAAGGGAAACTTTTACCTTTACCTGGAGCCTCTCCAGACTTGGCTGGGCAAAATAAGTGACCTGGCAAAGTAACAGCCAGGAGTGAACACCCTGAGAAAGGATCACCCAGTTCATCCCTGCTTGGAGACAGGGATGAGCACCGCCCTCTAGAGTTGGACACGACTGGACTAAAAGTCAAGGGGAACCTTTACCTTTACCTAAAACAGTAACCATTTCAAAAGGTGACGTTCAGTTACCACTTGGGTGGGGAAATGACGCCATGAAAGGGGAAAATAACATTCAGCTCATACTTGTAGAAGGAGACACAAAAAAACACAAATGCCTGACCGCATGTCCCAGCATAAAATCTACAGTTGGGAGGAGGGGGAAGTACAATAGGACCCCCTTATTCACAGGATCAGTATCCACTAGACATGGGCATGAGTCAGAAAATGGTGATTCATTTTGACTTGCGATTCACTGAAATTTAAAAAAAAAGTAACAAATTTACAAAAAAATCAGACAAATCAATGAATTATTTGTCCATTTGTTTTTCCCTTTAAAACCCTATAAAATGACTCGCCAGTCACCTAGAGATACGATAGTCACAGAAAAGCTTTCTCTGACTCTCCGCTACAGTCCCTGCAAATTTGATGAAGTTCGAGTTTCCTACATCCAAGTTATGCACCCACAAAGAGGGCCCCCAAGAAAGTTCTCACCAAGCACCTAGAGACACCAAAATCACAGAGAAGCTTCCTATGACTCTCCTCTATAAGCCCTTCAAATATGATGAAGATTGGGTTTCAGACATCCAAGTTATACACCCACAAAGGTCCACCCAAGAAAGTGCCCTTTAGCAGCTGGCTTGAGTAATCCCAATCATCATCAGACTGAGGGACATTGTAGAGGAAAGTCATGGGAGACTTCTATGTGATTTTTGTGTCTCTAGGTGCCTGAGGACAATGCAAATCAATGAATTAATGATTTTTGATGAATTTTGTAATTCATTTTTTCAGTTCATGCTCATCTCTAGTACAGTGGACCCTCGACTTACAGAATTAATCCATATTGGAACTGTGGCTGCAGGTCGAAAATTCCGTAGGTCGAGGGTCCATTTCCCATAGGAATGCATTGAAAACCATTTAATGCATCCCAGCCAGAGGAAAAAAAATCCAGGACTTCCAAAGCTGCCCCCGCTGCCCCCTGCCTTCTGTCCCCACTGTCCTCTGCCTCCCGCAGGGACAGGAAGCAGAGGGCACCGGGGACAGGAGGCAAGAGACCAGTGGGTGCACCTTTCTAAGCCCCGAAAGCCAGCAGCGGGCACAGAGCAGCTTTTGGCTTTCCCCACCTCCCCCCCCGCTCACAGCTTTGGAATCCAGAAAGCCGAAAGCCGCCCTGCGCCCGCTGTCAACTTTGGGCTTTCGGGGCTTAGACCTGCAGCCTACAGACTGGAAGGGAGAGGCAGGGAAAGCACCAATTTTGAATTAGGCACTTTCCCAGCCTCCCCTTCCTGGTTCGTAGGTTGATTCTCCAGCCGCAAGTTGAAGTGAAACTTTGCGGCCGGAGTAGTCCATAGGTCGAAAAGTTCGTAAGTGGAGCTGCACATAAGTCGAGACTCCACTATATCTACTGACTCACTTATCCAAGGCGCTTTCCCAGCCTCCCCTTCCTGGTCCGTAGGTCGATTCTCCAGCCACAAATCGAAGTGAAACTTTGCAGCCAGAGTAGTCCGTAGGTCGAAACGTTCGTAAGTGGAGCCGCACGTAAGTCGAGACTCCACTATATCTACTGACTCACTTATCCATGGTCTGAAAATATAAAAAAATATATTAGAAGGAAAAAAAAAACAGAAAAAATATTTCCATATGTATTACCAGAACCAGCTACTAGAGGGAGCCAGAGACCATGCTATGAATATTTTTTAGTGAAGAATACATAGCATGATCTATGGCGCCCTCTAAGGACCAGTTCTTATAGTGCCTGTGAAAATACTTTCACTATCCACTGGGGGACTTGGAACCAATCCCGAACAGATATGGGGGTCCTACTATACACCCTCTTCGAATTCTACAGTTTACATATCAGGACATAATAAAAATCATCTAGATACAACCGCGGATGAACAACAAAAATCTATGACATATTACACCGTGTCTTTTTCACATTCTCTCTCTCTCTCTCTCTCTCTCTCTCTCTCTCTCTGTGTGTGTGTGTGTAACAAGGGGGATGAGAGACAGAGAATCTGACCATAAATTAAGGTTGCTTTCCTCCTAAAGAGAAATCCAGTCAAATACTGCTTTTCCAGAAAACTACAATACACGTCCCATAGACAAAATTCCAGATGTATTTCTCTCCTTGTAGCTTAACAGGCCTGTTCAGTGGCTACCACCATTTTGACTGTGAAGGAGAAAGAGGTGAAAAAAAGGAGGTGGATCCTAAATGGAGAGGAGAGACACTGTGCTACTCATTTCTCTTTCTGCCACAAAGGAAATTTGCATTAGTCCTGAAGAAAGACTCAGTGTTGAAAATATCCTTATTTTCAAATCCAAAAAGATGCAATAAAGAGAGAAATGTGCTCTTATATGCTGTACTAAAGCAGTGGTTCTCAACCTTGGGTCCATAGGTGTTCTTGGACTGCAACTCCTACAAGCATTCACCACCAGCTGTGTTGGCCAGGATTTCTGGGAGGTGTCGTCCAAGAACATCTGGGGACCGAAGGTTGGGAACCACTGCATTAGAGCAGTGGTTCTTAACCTTGGGTCACCCAGGTGTTCTTGGACTCCAACTCCTACAAGCATTCACCACCAGCTGTGCTGGCTGGGGGTTCTGGGAGTTGCAGTCCAAAAACGCCTGAGTAACCCAAGGTTAAGAACCACTGCATTAGAGGATAATTAGGCCTTGACTTAGCAACAAGGCAAAACCATGCTGACCATTGATCCTTTGAGTCCCCCAGGCCAACCCAGGACCCATCCTGTCTTCTTGCAATGGAAATGGATAGGGCTACTGAAACCACCACGTGAATTGCAGCAGTTTCTGTAGCCCACGTGGTGCTCAGATTTTCTCAAGAGACTGATGGAAAGGTCATTCAAAGAAGAGCCAGTAGAAGAAAGGAAGGCAGAGTAGCTCACATCTCATCTCCCACTGGATTACCGTAATTTTCTGGTAATGAACAGGCTGTCACAGACTGGCATCACTGGGCACTTGCCAAGGTCAGAGCTATAGCAAGGCAAGCTGTGCCACCACCTAAGCTGGTAACAAAAGGGCTTCCCCCTATTCTTCCCACCCCATATATGTGGCCACTTCTTTACTCAGTTAGCCATCCCTTGCACAGTTCCCTGGCCCCAAGGGCCTGATTGGAGCCAGCCATTATTCAAACCATGGCTGGTTTCTTAGTGCTGCCGAGCGTTGTGAAGTGGATGTGACAGTGGTGGTGGCTCGGCCACCTTCAGCACTCCACCAACAGAAGCAATGGCCGCACCATGGCTAACAGCTGCCCCTGGCCTGTTTCTCATTTTCTGGTTAGCTTTGCAGAATTAGCCTGGAGGAAGAGGACAAGCAACCGGGAAGAAGTCGCAGCAGAAAGAAAGGAAGGGATCCCACCGGAAAAATGGGGAAGCAATGCCACTCTGAACCCTGGAGCTGGTAGAAGCTCTGAACTCCTAGTGACCTCTACATAGTACCCAGAGGAGGAAAGTTTACACTCAGAGCTTTAGCACAACACTCCCTTTAATTCCCAGGAGCTGGAAATGCATGGCTTTTCTTTGCTTCTGAAACTTCAGGATTATGCCGTGGTTCTTTAAATGAGATGTTCTTTGATCGCTTTGTGTAAGTTTCAAATGCTTCTGCATTCTTTCCAAGTGACATTTACAGAAATGCATTTCTCCTTGCTTTTTCTTTCAGTGCTCCTGGGAGCGGCCCTATGTTCAGATCCACCACCGTCATGGTCCGAGACAATCTGAACGAAATCCCTCCGCGTACTCTCTTTGACTCCGCTGAAAAGGAACAAGAATTCAACTTTGCATTGCTGCACAGCTCAAAGAGTACAGGCAATGTCACATCCGTTGCTTCTTTGTCACTGGCAAATAACAGTCAGCCAGAGGTGAACCAGCTTGGGGATCAGATGCAGAGACTCCACGGACATAAAGTGGCTTTCTCTTTTGCATTTCCAAAGAAGGCATCGGTCAAGCTTGAATCATCGGCTGCGGCTTTCTATGAATATAATGATGAAGCGTCAACTGAACATGGGCTGAACCGAAGAAGTCGGTTTGTTCCTGGGCCTTGCACCCTTCAGGTTTCGCCAGCTGAAGAAACAGTTCCTTGTTTAGAGGAGAAACCAAGCTCCATTGCTCTGCTAACCGAGAAACATGCTCATGGTACAGTCTGTCCCCCAGCACAGGACTCGCATGAATCACCCAGTCAAGAGAACATGGCCAAAGAAGTCGTACATTTAAGACCCTCCTTTTCTCATTCGAAAAGCCCGGAACTTGGCAGTTTGGATAACATTTCCATTAATGCAGATTCAGTAGTTTTGCCAGATGAAACACCATCCAAAGTGACCCCTGGGAATCCAGACCTATCTGCAGAAACCAATAGCGGTGAGCACATAAGGAATGACTGCACAGGTCTTCCTGTGAACGAAGAATGTTCATCAGAGCATGATGGCCAGGAGGACCATGATCAGAACATCAGCAGTGATTCGCCCACAGCAGAGGATGAAATTAAAAAGTGCTCTTCCATTGGACAGGTTCCAACACATTCTGAAGGGGAAACAGTCACTCCGCCTTGTAAGCAAAATCCACATAAAAGACCTTATGAGCCATTTGTCCCCGTGCTGAACAAATTTGGGTCAACCATTCTTCAGTGGCCATCAGAGATGCTCATGTACACCAACACAGAGCCATCTATTTCTTATAGCTGTAATCCATTATGTTTTGACTTCAGGTCCTCAAGGCTGAAGGAAGGCCTGGAGAAAAGTAAGCGGCCATTCCATATGCCAAGTTCTTCACCAAAGCCTGACTCTAGCCAGAGTTCAGTTTTAGACAGTACAGATAAATCCCTTTCAGTGACAGCTTCTTGTGCAACTGACATTAATGTGTGTCCGTGCGACAACGTAACATTAGTTTTGCCAGATGTTTCTTCTCCTGTGAGTTGTGATCCAGAAAAGAACCAAGATGCATTAGATGTGGGTACTGAGAAACATGAAGCACTCTGCAGTTCTTTGAAATGCCTACGAGAGAGCTCGTGTGCCCATGAACAGCAGAACAAGGGCTGGGTCAAAAGAACACATGAAAAGTGGCTTCATAAAAACAGGAAAAGGAAAAGGAGGAGAAAGCTGTGCCATCACCATTACGAGGAAATGACCGAGGCAGAGAATGACACCCATCCCATCACTGAGCAGCGCAACGTTTGTGCTGTTAATAAGCATCAGAAGCTTCATGACGCTCCAGAACAAGGTGTGGCTGAGAACGGAGTGGGAGGGCCCATCGCAGAGCTTTTACAGCCAGCCCCTGAAACTCTTGAGGGTGAGAAGGGTGAGAATAATGGAACCATAGCTCCATCTAGCAACCAGCAGGACTACCAAACGCCCCACTCCGTTTGGCACACAAAGGCTTATAGCAACTGTTGCATGAAGGCTAACCATCTCTGGAGAGGGAACAAGCCGGTTTCTCACAGGCAATCAAGTAAAGCAGGACTGAGTTCTGGAAGGCAGGGCTCAGCTTATTCCAGAACATTCTGTAAGTGGAATATAAGAAGATGTAGCAGTAGTTCAGTCCATAAACATCTGGCTCCTGATGAAAATCAAGCTGGAAATCAAACACAGTCCATCAAGAGGGCCTATAATTCTCTCACGGATGAGCCAGAGCGATCCTACAGAAAACGGAGACATCACATACCCTCTTGTTCATCAGATGATATCTCGCACACAGAGACCTGTCTTTCAGAAGATAATTCAAGGCAGACATATGGCTTAGCAGCACCGTGTAAACCTAAACGGAAACGAAGGAGAAAGAGAACACGAATGCATCTTGCGTTTATAGAGAGGGCTTACAGAGACCTTTCCAGAAGGAGTATCCATGCCAATGCTCCAGAAGAGGTCTCTGTGGCAAATCATTCTCCCAAACCATTGACTGAAGGAAATACGGAGCAAACAAAAAACCCTACCACCACTGACTATGCAGGTAACATGGAAAGAACAGTGCAAGCCTTAGAAAATGAAACATCCCCCCAATCTGACTGTTTACTTTCCTTAGAAAACACCCCAGGATCACATGGTTCCATTACAGAAAATACTCCCCATGTGGAACAACTGACATATTCGGCTTCTCCAGTTCCTGAACATGGCATTCTTGCAGCGATGGAACCCAGGAACTTGCCAAAAGAGGGAGAAATGCATGAAAATGTGAGTGCTCCTGAAATCCAGGCTCCTAATAAAGTGCCCACTCTTGAAAGAAACTTAGACCCACCTCCCTCAAAAGCATACCTGTGCCATTATGAAGTGGCTGAAACAATCCCCCAAGAGAAGCTAAATCCGTCCGCCAATGAGTGGTTGCGCTGTCACCCGGGCATGTTTAATACCCCACCGCCTTTGCCCTTTAAAGAAGCACATATGAACAGCCATGCTTTTTTAACCACGGAACAAATCCTTACCCCTTTCGCCTTGCCTGACCACGCACTACTTTTGCCCCCAGAAAACCACGACAAATTCAAAGACTTGCCGGGTGAGGCCTACCACCAGATTATCCAGCAGAACATGTTCACCAGTAAGATGAAGCTGACGTTTCCTCCTGCTGCCCTCCAGCCTTCCAGCGCTCCTCTGCCACCCCTGTCCCTGCATCAGCAGCCACTGTGTTCTACCTCCGTCACTACGATCCATCACACTGTCCTGCAGCAGCATGCGGCGGCGGCGGCAGCAGCAGCAGCGGCAGCAAGCACCTTTAAGGTCCTTCAGCCTCACCAACAGTTCCTTTCTCAAGTCCCAACTCTTTCACGGACACCTTTGCCTCACTTCTCTGTTGGGCCGAGACTTTGTCCCGCAGGTCATACGGCCCTTGTTGGCCCACCCCAGTTGCCGCTCATCCCAGCCTCCGTTCTCCACCCGAGCCATTTGGCTTTCTCCCCTCTGCCACACTCCCTCTTCCCTTCCCTCCTGTCCCCACACCCTGCTGTCATTCCTTTGCAGCCTCTTTTCTAGGCCCCCGCATTGTTAAAAAGGGGCAGTGAAGTTTGAAACGGACGACACGCCAACTTCGTTCGTCGGAGGTTAGGTGAAATCTTTCAAGCGGGAGGCTATGACGAAAAGGTCTCAAGAGCCTTCTGACCTGGGAACCCTTTGCCCGTTGGCCTAACAATGCAAATATTTATGTGTAAAGTGCAGATTCATAATAAAATTAAAGCACTGAGGTAGTCTAATATGAATACAGTCTCTATATATAGGTATAGATATGTACGTATGTAAGAAGCTAATGTCTTAAATATGTTAACATGTATATAAAATATATTTATAGTACTATAAGTTATGTTGTAAAGTATGCTCCTGGATTTTTTTTAACGATTATATTTGTGTATTTGCACCTAAGTAATGTTTAGACAAAGCCGATGCACTATGTTTTGTACAACCTTCCTTATAACCATAAATATAGTAAGAAACTCTCTCTTTGCAATAATTCTTGTTGTTTGTTTGTTACACGGTTTAACAAAATTACTTTTTAAAAAAAATCATTTACTGTTCGCCTCAGAGATAATCGTTCCCTTTCATTTAAATAGGAGGCTTACTATGTTTGGGTAATCCTGTTTCCCAGCCTTCTGTGATTTACTGTCAAGGCTCAGAGGCTACAACCTTAAAGGGAGCATTCCTACAGAGAGGTAGACAAAGGGTAATGGATTGGGTTGTATTAGCAGTTTGATACAGTCAAGACAAATATTGCTCATTAGTGGTGCATCCTCCTCAGAGGACTTGGGGAAAAAAATTTCTTTGGGAAAAAGCACAGGGAGGAAAAACAAACAGAAGGCACTCTTCCCACAACACCCCTGCAACTTCCCTGATTTGTGTCTTCCTCTGCTCTGTATCGCTGTCTAGGCACCCTTGCAATGAGCCAGAGGGTTACTCAAGTAGCTTAGAACCACCTGTCCATGACCTGCAGCTCCTGGATGGCTTGTGCAGCCAAGGGAACCTCTGTTGCCCATGCCAGGCACAGCATGGCTGGTGGCTAGCAGCTGTACTCCCTATCAGTATGCCCCATGTCAAACATATTGATCACAATGCACGGGAAGGGTTGGGGCATCCCTCACACAGATATTGTGAAGAACAATGAGATGGATCTAGGTTTAGAAGGTGCTGGTGGAAGAAGATGTTGCTGCCCCCTCTTCACTAGGACAAGCCTATGAGGAAAGCAAGCTGTGCATCTATACTGAACGGGGACAGTGGTGATATGACAGGGAAGGGGTGATTCCTCCCCCAGTGAGGCAGAGTGGAGCTGACACAGGCAGAAGATGCCTCCTCCTGCCTCATTACACCCTCTCATTCCAAACAGAATTCCTTAACTGTTTCTGCATCATTTTTAGAGGTAAGGGAGGAAGAAGAAGCCAGGGAGTTCCCTTCCTCTAGCCCAGCTGCTCATGCTTAAACTTAGAACCAAACAAGAGTCTTTCTTTCTGCTCTCCCCCCACTTGTTTTGGAAATGTGTCCCAGCTGAAGTAGAGTTACAGTAAACTGACTTTCACTGCTAGGCAAAGTGGTGGTTAAGCTACAGACAGATAAATCACAGAGTGGGCATTTCTAAATGGCATACTTGTGAGTAGAGAACTCACAGCAGAGACCCAGTTTGGGCAGAAGGTATGACATGAGTTCCTGCTGGAAGCTAACGATGGTCATGAGGTACAGAAGAGCCAGTCTGCTTTAGTCGGTAGACAAAATGAAGGAAGAGGTGAGTGAAAATGCTGAAGGACAGCACAGATGTTACTGCTTTTCTGAACCAATATCATAAGTGGCTCGTAGTTACTCAGAGCACAAAGCACAACTTTGGCCTGACGCATCATGGGCCATCACATGTATGCATGAAGATAACATAGCATGAGAGTGTCGCAATTGTTCAGGAAGAAAGTAAGTATCAGTTGTATTTATGGAAAGCTTCTTTGTCACCTGGCTTCTTAAAAATGGCAGGCGGCATGACGGAATAATATATTAATATATGTGTCCTTGCCAGAAAAAGACCTACAGAGAGAAAGGGAGCTAATGTGTCACTAGCAAGATTACTTCTAAGGAAAGGGAATTTCATGCCTGCATGCCTGTAGTGGACCTTGACAGATGTAGATTATTCTTAGGTCCAGTTTGTGTATCCATCTTAATCACTCGATCAGTGTGACATCTAGGTATTATTTGCATGCGCCAATTGACCAATGTAGACTCCAAAATACAGACAGAACATTTGTACTATTGAGGACCTGCCAATTGACCAATGTAGACACCAAACTCCAGACTCCAATGTAGACAGGGACATGGTGGCGCTGTGGGCTAAACCACATAAGCCTGTGCTGCAGCATCATGGTTTTGAACAAGGTCACATGCACAGGTCACATACCTGTCACCAAATCTAGCATAATCAAGTATATAGAAGATGTGGGAAAACGATGCACACACCACAGAGAAAACAGTCATTAGGCATGGTATGTACAATAATGTGAATATCATCACCTACAGGGTCAATGGTGCAAGTCCTTCTAATATGGGTACCCTTTAGATTCCTTTTTACTCTTAAAATCATTTTCCTCACCTGCATACCACTGCTGTCACCATAGAAAAAAAAATACTTGTTATTGTTGCCTTTCAAATTGTAGGGCAGGTATATTTGATGTTGGGAAGGTGTGAAGGCAAGAGGAGCCTGTCACCAAATCTAGCATAATCAAGTATATAGAAGATGTGGGAAAACGATGCACACACCACAGAGAAAACAGTCATTAGGCATGGTATGTACAATAATGGGAATATCATCACCCACAGGGCCAATGGTGCAAGTCCTTCTAATATGGGTACCCTTTATATTCCTTTTTTCTCTTAAAATCATTTTCCTCAGCTGCATACCACTACTGTCACCACGGAAAAAAAAGTACTTGTTATTGTTGCCTTTCATATTGTAGGGCAGGTATATTTTTTGTTGGGAAGGTGTGATGGCAAAAGGAGAAGGGGACGTCAGAGGATGAGATGGTTGGAAGTGTCATCGAAGCTACCAACAAGAATTTGACCCAACTCCGGGAGGCAGTGGAAGACAGGAGGGCCTGGTGTGCTCTGGTCCATGGGGTCAGGAAGAGTCAGACACGACTTAACAACTAAACAACAAACAACAAATGTGACTGTCAAACACATACCTCTTTGACTTGCAGGTGAGAGATAGCCAGCCAACAAGGGAGAACTCATCAGCTGTAGGTAAACCCCAGATACAGTGGTGATGGTGGTGGTGGTGGTGCTAACAATGGAACAGATCCAAATTTAGACATGGTCAATTGGGCTGGTGGATGCAGCCCCTCCCCTTCCTCTTGTCCTCGTGATAGCCCATATCATACCTTGTAAAGGCTACACAAGGGGTTTGGGAACCTTACTGAATGGGGTTAGTGGTGGTAAAAGAGGGAAGGGGGTCCTCCCCCAAAAGTGGGTAGAGGAATCTTGTGTGCCTGCAGTCCTTTCATCTATGGAATGAAGCTGTTAGATTCAACCCAGTATGAGAGAGTCAAAAAGGGAGACCTGGCCTTTAAGGTTTGTTGTTTGGCATTGCAGTGGAGTATCCCCTCAAAAGTGGCCGTCCAATTTTAGGCAACAGTCAATATATTCTACTGCTGGACCACTGTTAAATCATACTGCAGCATATAAATTAAATGTTTCATTATTTGATTAATTAGTACAGTATTTAATAAGTACCTTGGGTAAAAAAAAAAGAACCATTTCTTATTCACAAATGGATTTCTTAATATTTTTATCTACTCATTATAGAAGATCTTTTAAGTTATGTGACTGACGATGCAGAACTATTTGGAAATAGGTGTAATTAAGTTTAAGGGGTGTATAAAATAACCATGTGCCTTCACATCAATTCCGACTTAATGGAAACCCTTTCCAGGGTTTTCTAGGTAGAGAGCACTCAGAAATGGTTTACCCTTCTATTCTTCCGAGAGCATCCTGGGACTGTGCAGCTGGCTCATGGCCACCCAGGCTGGCTCTTCTGAGAAGCACAGTGGGGAATTGAACTCCAACTCACTGAGTTATCCAGCCTGTTAAGGGGGCTCCTTCTAGGTAATTGAGGATAGGATTGCTGCCTGCAGAAAATAACAACCACCCTCTCTTTGCTGCATGGATGAATAAGGCTTAGAAGTATAGGAAAGGGGTGTTTTTTAAAATGAGTTGCTCTGTAATTAGTTTGTGTGTGTGCTTTGCCTCTCAAAGAGAAAGGCCACTAGTTTGGCGTAGAGATTGTTTACAGAAAATATTCTCCTGTCCTCACTCTTGCCTCGAATGGAAGAATTTTGTGGGGCTTGAAAATTCCTCATTGCCAAGTCAAGATAGACTAAAAGAAAGAAGAATTTCTTTACATTTCTTTTTGCACTATACAAATTATTTTCCCTCCAAGTCATACTAGAGATATTTTAGAGGGTTTTTCTTTCAGTCACCTGGGTCCATAGAATTAATTATTCTCCAGATTTCGATAATAACCCTAAATTAAGCTATGGATTTTGTGAAATTGCTTCCTGTTCCCTAAACAGCTACACAGAGAAATGTCTGAAAAGCTAATGTGTTCCCGTCAAATGAAAAATGTAGCATTCCTGCCCCCACAACTCCTTGATCTTGAAAAGGAGCAACTTGACCAGTCCACAGGAGACATACTGTTGTTCAGGTAACGTGGACTGTACAGTAGTGGTCTGAATAGGACTTTTATTACCATTACAAGTCCTAATCATATTCTTTTGAGAGAGATTGCCCATAAGCACTTGATTTGCCACAGAATACAGTTGCCAGATTCAGCATTCACTCTTGTTTATGAATCAAATCAAGAGGACCTGAGATCTTCCCTATAGCTGCACCTGGTCTTGGAGATGGCCTATATAAGCTGTGACCCACTGAGCCAAATTTGCCCACCAGACTGGTATCATTGTTTACCACTTCACCCCCAAGCTGGGAAGCAGAGTTGGGAGGGGGAAGAAGAAGAAGTAAAGGAAGTTTATTAGGCCATTGAAGATCGACTTGGGATGGCATTTGGCTTGATGTAACGTGTAGAACAAGCTTTTTCAGTGTGGTAACTTGCAGTGGTATGAGGCAACCACACCATTCGTACTGAGCAAACATGTGTCACGAAAACCTAAGGATATTTAAAATACCTTGAAGTTCTCCTACAAAATATTAGATTGAGAGCCACTGTCTACTGGACCATAAAGAAGCCTGGACCATAAAGAAAGCTAACTGCCGAAGAATTGATGCTTTGGAATTGTGGTGCTGGATGAGACCCTTGAGAGTCCCCTGGACTGCAAGGAGAACAAACCTACCCACTCTAAAGGAAATCAACCTGGAGTGCTCACTGGAAGGACAGATCCTGAAGCTGAGGCTCCT